TGGAGCAGGAGATGGAGATGCTACTTGGGAGTTAGAGGAAAAGATGAGGGAATCTTATCCTCAATTGTTCCTTTCAGGTACGCAAATTTCGAGGACGAAATTTATTTAAGGGGGGGAGAGTTGTAACATCCTGATTCTCAATACCCCTGGTTTGTTAAATTTTGACAAAATCTTTGTCAAAATTTTACTAATTAAATTATTAGGAATTGGGTAAAGTAACTGTAGAGTTTTATGTTTATTAGATTATTTATGATTTTCGGGAATTTTTAGAAAATACTCGTGTGTGTGTCTGAACGTTGAGTATGGACTTAACAATTTTAATTGTCACATTTAGAAATTATTGTTTTCTTTTATGCATTGAGTGTGGGTACATAAAAAGTTTATTATGTGTATAAATAGACAAGAAACATATGATGGTTAATATGGTTTGGAGTGTTGTTGGAGTCTTAGGGGTTTTGAGTTCAAATCCTGGCAGGAGAAAATAAAGATAATTTTTTTTGTAATGTAAATCCGCTGGGCGCATCCTAAATGCGCTGAGCGGATTGCATTTGAAATCTCTCTTACATGCGGCCTGTAATCCGCTGGGCGCATAAGAAATGCGCTGAGCGGATTGTGGTTTGAAATCTCTCTATTACTTGCGGCCTATAATCCGCTGGGCGCAGCAAAAATGCGCTAAGCGGATTATTAGGTGAAAAATTTGCCTTTTAAAAGAAAGAGTGTCGTTCTGCGAGTTTTTCTCGTAGGTTCCTCGTTTCTCTCTTTCTCTCAAAACTTTCCTTGCCTTCAAGCTTCATTTTGAAGGAGAAATCTTGATTTTCTTGAGGAGTTCAAAGAGGTAAGTTGGTTTATCTCAATCTTCTCTACATTTCTACCGTTTTATTTTTCAAAACGGTGCATTTTCTATTTTTATCCTCACTTGAATGGGCTTGAATGGGAGTAGAAATAGTGTTATTGTAGGTTTTACACCTAGGATACTAGAATAATGTTTAAAATTGAGGATTAGAAGTGGTTAAGCTAAGAACTTTAAGAGCCCTAATTCGTAGGTACTATTCATTGAATATTTGGGACTTTTGTGAACAGAATTAGAAATTAGTATCTTCATGAAATTTGTAGCTCTTTAAGTTGTCGAAATTTAGAAACTGATTTCACATTAAACAGATATTTATAGCTTAAGTTATGCCCATTTTACTATCAAGTGTTCTAGCTGTGACGTTAAGAGGTAGCCCTGTTTCAACAGCCTAGGTTTTTGAATTACTGAGATTGATACGTGTGAAATTAGGACTTTATTACTTCATAAAGGTTGTAGGAAATTATATCCCCGAAATTTAGAAATTTATTTCACGTGAATATCTTATGTGTAGCAAGAGTTATAATCCAATTACCAAGGCATGTTCAGAGTGTTATTGTAGTTGAGCCTAGTTGGAAATAACCACTGAAAACTGAAAGCTGCATCTATTCTATAGGGTATTTGAATTTATTTCCTTCATCAATATTGTAGGTAATTAAGTTATTGAAATTTTGGCTCAAATCTCATGCCAAAACAGTTTATATAACTATAGAAAATTTTGAAATACTGAACCTTGTCCATGGTTATTATTAGGATTCTTTCTACTCTAAGTGCCTACAAAATAGGATAATTTTCTAAGTTAATTGTAAGCTGAATGTGAGCTTAAAATATTATTAGAAATAGATTAGCAATACAAAGTGAATTTAAATTCTCATGAGATAGAATCATATAAATATAAGATTCTAACTAGCATTTTATTACGTATATAGATTTTGTTGAAACACAACATCAAGCTTTGAAAGGAATAAGTGTGAACATATCAGGTAAGGGGTGGGCTATATAGTAAGGATTACATCATAAACTTGTTTGACCTTATTTGTTGAATTTGTCTAAATTTGTTATGATTGATAATTTTGATTTCATTATATGTTTGGTTGTGAAAGTGATCATGAATTGCTTACGTGTATGATGGTGTAAAATATATGCTTGATACTCTATTATGATATGTATGGTCTTTGAGTGAGCATTTATATGCATGGTGATTTTTCATGAGAAAGTTCATTGAAAATTAAATTGAAAGAATTGGATGATGGGTTGTGAACCCTTTTTGAACTGTATTGGAAGTTTTCTGCTTGTAACAGGTGATTGAAAATTTTTGGGAAGTTCGTATTACAGGGGAAACTCTGTCAAAATTTTTGGAAAATGTGAATTTCTAAGAAAAACCACTTAGGGACTCATACATTACTCATTTGAAAATGGTGATTTGTGAAATCTGGGGAATCAGAGATTATGGACTCTGAGAATACGATAGGGAGGCCCTGAGGGAGGACTTGAGGATAAGAAGGGTAGTGGTTGGAGGCCCCAAAAGACCCAGGCTCGCTACCTGTTGTCGGGGATCCCACTGTACAAACTCTGCTATACCTGACTGTGCTCTTACCGTATATCAATGGTCAGTGAGCTACTGGGTTTATATTTGAGCATGGGTCTCAACAATCCCGTGGGTGGATTTTCCATGCCTAGTAGTGTCAACTCCTGGCTACCCCAGTACTGATTTGAGAAATGATTCGGGCCCGCATGCATAAACATTTTAGAAAACATATTAGGATCATGCATCATTAACATCAATCATTTGGAATTTGATTGACTTGTGAATGTTTATGATGTTGATTTTAAAATGATGTATGAAGTGTTGCTCACCCTCTTGTCTTTCTGTTTTCTTTATTTCTTTTGTACTTGCGGTACTCATTGGACCTGATCGGTCATTGTTTGAAGAGAGGGGAGATGGCACAGATTCCACACCCGATGAGTATGATACTCATACTCATTAGTTGGGAGCCACAATGCTGGCAACATGTATTGGGATAAACATATCCAAACTTTTATAGATAGTCTTTTGTAGTATATAGACCTACATGGTACTGAGTAGTATTGACTGTTTTGTGTAGTTAGCTGCTTTGTAGGAAGTATCCCCAATGTTGCCTTAATATTTTGGAGGACTGTACTAATATTTTATCTATATGTAATTATGAATGTTTACTTTTAGTACTTTTTAAAATGATGAAATGCAGGAATGTATTATTGAAAATTTATGTATATTAATATTATGTACAAGGGAAAGATTATTATCGGTTAAAAAAAATTTATGCTACAAAATTATTAATTCTTCTGAGTGAGGGTTTATAAGGTAGGGTGTTTTTTCATAAATATTTTTTAACTTAAAATTATTACTTGATTCCATATTTTTTTCACTTTCGAAATTTTTATTGACAAGTTTATCCAAATATACCTTTTTGAGGTGAAAATATGTTTTAAAAATAGCAAGTTTTATTTTTTTAATTTAGCAGTGTTCTACACCTTTTAATTTAGACTATATGATGTTTTTTTTAATAGACTATATGGAAAATAATATAATTAAACAAATATTTAATTAACTAATGAAAGAATTAAAATTTATGTTTAAGATTATTATAAATTCAAATTTTGAATTAAATAAATATAGATAAAAAATGTTGTTTAGGAATTTTTTCATAAAAAATTTTAAAATTTGGAAAATATAAGTCTTTCCCTAATGAATAAAAAATAATAATTGTAAAAGCAGATAATTCAGTTATAAAATTCATATAGCTACATTGTACACAATATAAAATTCATTTTGAAACAAAAATGTAAAAATATCAGAATTTAACACTATATAAATTTATTTTATAGGTTTTTCGTTTCCTTTTCACATATATCATCCATTTACTTCCATTCATATTCATAATCCTAATAATTGTCACTTAAAATTAAAATTATTAATATAAAATAAAAAAATTTAAAGAATAGTTGTATACATTCACTCTTAATTGCAATTTATTGTCTTTAACGACTTGAAATTTGACTGGAAATAAGTGGGGACAGAATTATAATTACTCAGTTAGGATAATGAAAATTATTTATTACAAATAACAATAATGAAAAGGAATACGAAACGCGTTTAAAGTGAAATCATTATGAAAGTTGATAAATTGAAAAGTATTTATAGAAAGCTAAAATAATATATACTAAAACATGTTTATACTTTGACTTTATATTATACACTTTTTTTAATAAGTAACAATATGAAGTCTAAATAAACACAAATTAAGAATAACAGAGATTTCAGTAAGGATCTATTTAGATAATTTTATATAATTTTTTTTATCTAAATAAATAAAAAATATTGTTCTTCATAAACTATATTTAAATTAAAAATATTTTTCATTCATAAAATAATAAAAAGATAGTAAAAAGTTAGTTAATATGAGTCTGACGGACAAAATTCTTTGCTAGAAAATGAAGAAATGACTTTGAAATGTGACAGAAGGGTAGATATATCCTCTGACCTAAATAACTTCTCATGGACCACAATGAGTATTTTAATTATTCATTTATTAATAAAACAATACTTAATATTTTAATTATAATTGAATTCTTGTAAAGATGAAAAACACATTTTACCTGATTTATATTTCCAATTTTATTTCCCTCAATATTTTTACTGAACTTAATAACAAAGTACAAGAAATTCTAATACTATTTGGTCTTATTAATGTTTTTTTTTTTTTTGCTATTATTTAAAAACTTTATATATAATATATTTTTATATTATTTATTTATTCCTTTTTTTATTCATCATAACAAGTGGAAAAAAATATTCACCACTTTCTCCCTTTCTGATTTTACTCATCTGTTTCATTCTATTGTTTTTTTTTTCCCTATTTCTATCATTCTTATTTTATTCTTTCTTAATATATCATTGCTTTCTACTTGACTTTGTTCAAAGGAAACATAAATGATGAGCATCCAAAAACAAGTAGTACTTTCATAGGCCCATGCACAAACACAAACCAAGTCAACCCGCCATTGTTGATGCCCAAGATATTGTTCAATCAACACAGTAATCCACACAACTCCCTCAATTAGTGCACATATAAACAATCGATTGATCATTGGAATCAAATATACCACAACAATGGCAATTTTCATTCTTACACTTATCATTTGCAACCTACTTTTTCTCCTCTCAAAAGCTTCTTCAACTGATACACTTACCCTCTCACAATCTCTCCCTGATGGCACCACCTTAGTGTCCAAAGATGAAACCTTCGAACTGGGTTTCTTCTCCCTAAGAAATTCCACAAACCGTTACGTAGGAATCTGGTTCAAAAACATCCCAGTAAAAACCATTGTTTGGGTTGCAAACCGTGACCACCCTCTCAAAGACAACTCCACCAAGTTGACCATAACCTGCGACGGAAACCTCGTCCTTCTCACCAAGAACAACACAGTTCACTGGTCAACAAACACGACAACAAAGCCCTTGAGACCCACTTTGCAACTCTTAAACACCGGAAACTTAATACTCCGCAACGACAACGATGATAACAATAGCATCAATAATGAAGAGAAGTTCTTGTGGCAAAGCTTTGACTACCCTTGTGACACATTGTTACCAGGAATGAAGCTTGGATGGAACAAAAAAACGGGTCTCAATCGACGTGTTACTGCGTGGAAGAATTGGGATGACCCTTCTGCTGGGAACTTCACATGGGGCATCACATTTGACAGCAACCCTGAAATGGTTCTCTGGAATGGAACATCTAAGTACCATAGGAGTGGCCCTTGGAACGGTGTCCGGTTCAGTGGTGCATTTGGTGGGTCAAATAGCTTAACCACTCACCCTCTTTTCGTTTACAAATTGGTCAACAACAACAATGATGAAGCGTACTACTCATACAGCTCCATCAACAAGTCCCTGATCTCAATAGTTGTCATGAACCAAACCCTCTTCCGCCGACAACGCATCATTTGGATCCCCGAAAACGGAACATGGAGGTTGTTCCAAACCGCACCAAGAGATATTTGTGACACCTACAATCCGTGTGGTTCTTATGCAAATTGCATGGTTGATGCATCACCTGTGTGCCAATGTTTAGAGGGGTTTGAACCGAAGTCTTCGGAGACTATGGACTTGGCACAAGGGTGTGTGAGAAGAGAACCGTGGAGGTGCAAGGTGGAAGGGAGAGATGGGTTTAGAAAATTTATAGGGTTGAAGTTTCCCGATACTACACATTCTTGGGTTAATAGAAGCATGACACTCGAGGAATGCAAGGTTAAGTGTCGGGAAAATTGTTCGTGCACGGCTTATGCAAACTTGGACATAAGAGGAGCAGGAAGTGGGTGTTCTATTTGGTTCGGCGATCTTATTGATTTGAAAGTTGTTTCACAAAGTGGACAATATCTGTATATTCGAATAGCAGATTCACAGACAGGTGAAACTTATACTCTGATTTTCTTCTAATTAAGTTCTAACTTTGTTAATTCTTTAATTTGCTTAACTGTTCTCATGCATTTATTTCATTTTTTTTTTAACATGATCTCTTGTTCATCCCTTATAATTCATCATTCAATATTTCATTAGAAAAATGCTGATATGACAGTGCAGTGCAGTAAATTGTTTGGTCAATTTTCATTAAATGTTGAGTGTGAAGTTAATAGAAAAATGAAAGGACCAAATTTGACAAACAAGGATAAATGCAGATTCTAAAGATGCCCATAAGAAGAAGGCATTGTTGCTGATAGGTACCACTGTTGCTCCTATTGCTCTTGTGGTACTACTGGCAATCTTCTACTACTACAGGAGAAAAAGGAAGTATGAAGGTAAATTTCGTAAGAACAAAGTTTTTGCCTTTTTGTTCCTGAGGTCTCTAAAGTGACAGTCACAATATTTCCAGAAAACTTTGATGACATTCCAGATATGTTTGTTTATTTATTTCAAATAAAAAAATCACTGACGCTGGTCTCATTAATATCATTAATCTGGAAGAAAACGTGTCAGTAGAAAAGAAAAGTGAAGTTGGTGGACAAGAAGATAGTATGGAATTGCCATTGTTTGATCTTGCTACAATAGTTAATGCTACCAACAACTTCTCAACTGACAACAAACTTGGGCAGGGTGGGTTTGGGCCTGTATACAAGGTAAATACACCATACCATATGCATTTATTTTAGGAATGAAATGTTATTCATGAACATGTCTATTGAAATTAATATTCATTTTGTCAATCTTGTTCCATCTATGAAATTTAGGGTGTATTAGTAGACGGACAAGAAATTGCTGTTAAAAGGCTATCAAGGAGTTCTGGACAAGGATTAACAGAATTTAAGAACGAAGTCATATTGTGTGCCAAACTCCAACATCGAAATTTAGTTAAAGTTCTTGGTTGTTGCATTGAAGGGGAGGAGAAAATGCTTCTCTATGAATATATGCCTAACAGAAGTCTAGATTCATTTCTTTTTGGTTAGTATGCAATGGTAGAAGTGTTTATAGAAGTTAAATTTCTTTCAAAATCTTATTGAAAAAGAAAAAAGACTCACTAACATTACAATCTTGACAGATTCAACTAAAAGCAAGATTTTGGATTGGTCTAAGCGTTTTCATATCTTATATGCAACTGCTCGTGGGCTTCTTTATCTTCATCAAGATTCTAGATTAAGGATAATACATCGAGATTTAAAAGCAAGTAATATTTTATTAGACAACAACTTGAATCCTAAAATTTCAGATTTTGGCTTGGCAAGAATGTGTGGAGGTGATCAAATTGAAGGAAACACAAACAGGGTTGTAGGAACATAGTAAGTACCATAGAGGATGCTAAGATCTTCTTATGGAACATGTAAATTTAAACTAACTCTTCTGATTTGCAGTGGTTACATGGCACCTGAATATGTTATCCATGGGTTATTCTCCACAAAATCTGATGTATTTAGTTTTGGCGTATTGTTGCTGGAAATCATCAGTGGAAAGAAAAACAGAGAGGTTACCTATCCATACCATAGTCATAATCATATTGGGCATGTGAGTAACGCAGAAAAATAACTTTACTTTCCTAAATTAAAGCAATAAATAATAACTTATTTTGATTTTGTAGGCATGGAAGTTGTGGAAAGAAGGCACACCAGAGAATTTGATAGATAATTGTTTGGAGGACTCATGTATCTTATCAGAAGCCTTACGTTCCATTCACATTGGTCTTTTATGCCTACAACGTCAACCTAATGATCGACCAAACATGTCCTCTGTGGTTGTTATGTTAAGTAGTGATAATGAATTACCCCAACCAAAGGAACCTGGTTTCTTAATAGATAGGATCTTGAATGAAGAATCGTCTCAATTAAGAAGCCAAACTTCTTCAACCAATGAAATAACCATTTCCATCCTAGATGCTAGATAAGGAACATATTTATTTCTTAGACTCGTGAAACGGACTTGTTTGTTTGAGTATTATTATTTCCTTTATATGCATATTTTTTATTTGTCAGTTGCACGTTCTGGCTACAAATTTTTAAAACTTTAACCCCCAAAATTATGGAATGTGTTACTATTTTCGAAACTGAAATTTTCTTAAATTCAAATAGTTTGGTTTAATTAAGAAATTTAATTTCTTATTACCATTGACATGAGTGTAGCTGTCATAACGGTTTTGGATTGTTACATATTTCACCTGTTATAAATTTTTCTCTCACAGCAACACAAGTTTTTGGGTTTTCTGAAGCCAACAAACTAAGTAATTTTAGTCATTAATATATAAGAATTTTGAGGTGATGAAGTTGGGAAGCTTCATGGAGTAGTAGAAGCAGATAGGGACAGTTCTTACCAAATCTGTTGGTGGGAGGAGGGGAGATAGCAGCTAAGTATAGTAGGGGTATTTTTATCTGTCTAGATTATTAATAATCATAAATGTGAGCAAACATCATGCAAGTTCTCAATATTTATATTCTTCAGCTTATTTATCAGTCCCAGTCACTGCTGCCATTCTAGTTTTGCTTCTTTCAAAGGAATCATTGTTTTGGTTCTTTCAAGAGATTGTGAGAGAATGTCATTCTTGTAAACATCTTCGGTTGTTTTTGCTTTTGGTTGGAGTTTGCACTACTCACCTTCTTACATGATTTTGTTGGCACTGAGCCATGAAAGAGAACAATTTTTAATATTTGCTGGTATGATGAAGTTGTTGTGCTTTTGCTGTCTGATCTATCAAGGGAACCGAATTTTGTGTGTGGGTGTGATTGGGTTGATAGCTTGGTTGTCATTGGGAACCAATGCAGCTTTGAGTTTATGTTCCTTTTAAGTGCTAAGAACCCGGGTAACTTTTCCTTCCCTTCACTAAATCCTTGTCCTTATGGATTAAAGCTTGGAAATTTCTTCTTCAGATCGTAGTAATATTCCCAGGTTGACTCTTCCGACAGGTGGCGCTTCCATTTCACTAACACCTTCATCACGAGTATTCCTTTCTCTTCATCGTCATTCTATCTAGAATTTACTCATGTTCTTGCTTGGTAAACACATTATTAGTATTTCAGGAAGGATAGGAAAGATGTTTTGATGTTTAGTAGTGAGATTTGTATAGAAAATACTTTTTAGAAAAAGGTGGGCAAATAGGAGAAGGTTTGTATGAGGAAAGATAGTAATTGATCTTGGAAGTGCTACACTTCAAGTGAGGGGGTCACCACCTATATATAAGCATGAGACACTCCTCTCTAGAATCTTCTAGGAACTTAGAGATGATTCTTCCTACATTACACCTTAACTTATCATTCTAGATTTTTCTAGTAATTCTAGAAGCTACTTACATAGAGTTTACAATTCTAATAGTCTCTAGAACTTAACGAAGTTTCTAGAACTTAATTTTCTTGATCTTTCTAGAATTTGCATCACTTTTCAACACTCCTCCTTGATGCAAATTTCTATAACTCCAAGCATGAAACGTAACTGTTCAAACTTGACTTTGGGTAGTGTCTTGGTAAATATGTCTGTAATTTGATCTTCTGTAGTGCAGTACTCAAGATGAATTTGTTTAGTCGCTTCAACCTCTCTAATGAAGTGATATTTAATAACTATATGTTTTGTTCTTTGATGATAGATTGTATTATTTGTCATTGTTATCGCTTACTTGTGATCACAGTAAATTAGAGTAGATCCATGTTATTGTTTTCCCATCTCTTCAAGTATTCTTCAGAGCCATATAGGTTGACTTGTAGCCTCACCTATAGCCATGTTCTCTATCTGTTGTTGGTTGTGCTACTGTTGCTTGCTTCTTAGATGTCCAAGAGAAAAATCCTGATTTAAGTGAGAAGGCATAACCTGATGTACTCTTCATGTCATCTATAGATCCTGCCCAATCACTATCAGTGTAGCCAATCAACTTTGAGTCGTTCATAGTTTTGTACCATATACCAAAGTCCTTTGTGCCTTGTAGATATCTTAAAATCCTTTTTGCTGCTCCAAAATGAATTTGACTTGGTCTTTGCATGAACCTTGATAGAAGGCTTGTAACATACATAATATCTGGTCATGTAATGGTAAGATATAGTAAGTTTTCAATCAAACTTCTGTAGCATGATGCATCAGCTTCTGGTGCTCCATCATCTTTTTGTAACTTCTCATTTGTCACGAGTGGAGTAGCCATAAATTTGCAACCATACATCTTGAATTTCTTTAATAAAGCCTCAGTGTATTTCTTGTGAGAGATAAATATATCTTCCTTTTGTTGTCTTACCTCTATGCCGAGAAAATAATTCATCAAGCCAAGGTCGCTCATTTCAAATATTTTCATCATGTCTTCTTTGAATTCCCTTATCATCTCTTTATTGTTTCCTATGTAGATAAGATCATCTACATATATAGAGACAATGAGAATATCATACTGACCTTGAGTCTTGATATATAGTGTTGGCTCACTCTTGCTCCTCCTCAATCCTTGATTAGTGAAGTACTGATCAATTCTGTTGTACCATGCTCGAGGAGCTTGCTTCAAGCCATATAGTGCTTTTCTTAGCCTTAATACTTTGGCTTCATTTCCTTTTCTTATAAAGCCTTATGGTTTCTTCACGTATATCTCTTCTTCTAGTACACTATTTAAAAAGGCTGATTTAACATCCAATTAGTGAATGCTCCATCTTTTTTGTGCTGTAAGAGCTATTAAAGCTCTAATTGTATCTAGACGAGAAATTGGGGCAAATGTCTCGTTATAGTCAATTCCATGTTGTTGTGAATAACCCTTTGCTACCAGCCTAGCCTTGTGCTTTTGTATGGTGCCGTCAGGATTGAGCTTTGTTTTATAAACTCATTTTACTCCAATTACGTCCTTTCCATGTGGGAATCTACTAGTTCCCAAGTATTATTCTTTTCGATCATTTTAATTTCTTCCTCCATTGCCTTGATCTAGACTTCTTGTTTTGCTGCCTCTTCATAGCATTCAGGTTCAAGCATTGTCATGTTGTATGTTTCATATATATCCACCAAGGATCTTACTCTCCTAGAAGTAGATTATGGTGAAAATTCTTGTTGTACAGAAAAAGGAAGTGTACCTGGATTTTCTGCCACTTCTTGAATTTCTTATTGGGATTGTTGTACTGGTAGGAAGATGTTGTTTCTCATCATTCTTCCTTCTTCCCAATTCCAAGAAGCATTTTCATCAACCTCAACATCTCGACTGATGGTGAGCTATTTTGTCTACAAGTTATAAACTCTATAGCCTTTTGTTTGTATGCTATATCCCGAGAAGATTCCTCGTATAGTCTTGTCTTCTAATTTGTGCCTTTTTTGATCTGGCACATGTATGTAGCAGATAGATCCAAAAACTCTTAAGTGTTTAGCTGATGGCTTTTGCCTACTCCAAACTTCAATTAGAGTCTTTGATCCAATATGTATTTTAGACTGTAGTGATCAGTCTTAATTGTGAAGTGTCTATCTAAAAGATAATGGTGCCATTTTTGTATTGCAAAGACCACCGCCAATAATTCTTTACCATATGTAGTTATTGACTACTATTGTATGTTCAAAACCCTGTTGATGTACGCTATAGGGTGATGATCTTGCATCAAAACTAACCCTATTCTATTGCCCGATGCATAAAATTCCAATACAAATGTTTTTGAGAAATCTAGGAGAGCCAAGACTAGTGTTTTGCTGAGCCATTGTTTCAATTTGTTAAAAGCTAATAAGTCTTCAAATGACCAACCAAATCCACTTTTTTCAACATCTCTGTTAGTGGTTTAGCTACCACTCCATAACCTTCAACGAATAATCAATAATAGCCGGTAAGTCCTAGAAACCCACAGAGTTGCTTCATAGATTGAGGAAGGGTCCAATTGATCATCACTTCAATTTTATTGGGGTTAGTAGATACCCTATGCCAGAAATGAAATTACCCAAATACTCTACTTGATGGACAACAAAATAACACTTACTTTTTTGGGCAAATAAGGAATTTTCATGCAAGGTGGATAAAACTTGTCCTAGGTGG